TAGTCTAGGTTGGCAAAAAGCACTTGTCCACAGCTGTCTCCAAGAATTCCAGAAGCATCCCCAAGTTGTGCACCTGCTCATTTAGACGAATGTAACCTCATCCAGCACAGGCCCTGTATTGGACTGTGAGGCCATTTTCCCCAAGCCACATGCACCTGTCAATCAGTTGATGTCACTGGGTGACATCAGCTAATGGGCGAGGTTTGATCCTGCTGGGTGCTGCTTCACCAGACATTTCCTGTGGGGTACGTGCTGGCAAAGAAGACCCCAGCAGCCATCAGGATTGAATCCTCCGCTCATCAGCAAACAGATCCCTCTCCCCATCCCACAGGTCAACTTGGACAGGTGGGTGTGACCTATCATGACATCAGATGATTGACAGGCAGGCAGCCTCACATACATGTCTAAGTGGACCTGCAGTGGTAGAGGGTGATAAAGGGCCAAAAATGTTCGCCAGTTCTGGTGCAGATATTAAAAGGCACAGGGAACAAGACACAACTCTGTGGTATTTCAATCAATCAGACTTCCAATCAAGCAGGGAATTCTACTGGCACAAAGTGGAGTGACTTTCACTGATCCCCAGTTCAGTACCTGTCTTTAGGCAAAAGGAATTGGGTTTAGTTAAGAGGACATACTGATCACTGAAGCTGAAGAATGCAGACAGGATATAGCCCAAGGAGAAGCCAATAACAGGCATCAAAGCTGATGTCCCCAGCAAGCGTGGAGAGAAGATGATCAAGATACTGCGTCCGAAACTGACCACACTCAGAACAATTATTGTGATAGATAGCACAAGCAGAACAATCTTACCTGCCTGAAAAAGGAAGAGAGGTTAAAACAAAACACCACTGCATTTAATCCAAAACTGGGCATCATCTGTTACATTAATGCCCTTCTGTGTATTGCAGTTCCCTTGTGCCACATACCTCATAGACTATGGGAGGAAGCTGCTTCACTCATTCAGTCTTGCACAGTGATGAGACAATTCCCCCATTCCTCTCTTTGACTAATTGACATTGGCCCCTGGTTCATTCCACTCTCCCAGAGTTGCAGAACAGCTACCCCAGCCATTGGCAGCTACAGGGTTGGACATTTGAGTTAGGAAAAGAATGTACATATGAGGTTGGTGGGAATGGAACACACAAATAGGGTTTCCTCCTTCACCCCCACTGATTTTTTGCTGTAACAAAAGTAATAGTAAAATGCACTAGAAAGTGTGGGCCATCTATTGCTTGACATTGTTCAACCCCCTTGCAAATAAATTTACTGAGTGTTAATGCTCAGTAAATAGTAAAAAAGTGACCTGCATTTCAAAGCAGGATAATACATCTCATTTTGATACATGCATTATTTGGACATTTTGTCCCTGGCAACAGAGACTTCAAACACAAAAAACATTTCAACAGCAGAAAAAAGTGAATAAGCTCAATGCATGAGGATAGGGCAAATTAAACAAAACAAGGAAATTCAAAATCAAGCATTGCTTACCTTTCAAATCTAGCACTGTGGGCTGAACTTTGCACTGAGGCAGCAGGTAATACAAAGAGAAAAGAATTGCAGTGCACAATTTCTTATTTGGTATTTTTAAAAAAACCCTTTCCATGTGCAGGGCAGAAGAAATAATGGAAGATAAAGGACTTCCCCTACAGCATTTACATAGATATGCGAAGTGAGATCCAAATAGTACTGCAATCCCCACTTACTTTAACAAAGCGGCGAGCACACTGAGGCTTCTTTTCATCCAAGAAGATCCCAATGGCACAGGGGATAAGTGTCATGACCAGGGCGACAGCAATTCCTTTGTAAGGCACTTTGTCCTGTAGAGTACCCTGGTACAATCCCTTAGTGTAGGGGTACAGCAGAAATGGCATCAGACCAAGTGCCAAGAGTGTTGAGCAGGTTGTCATTACAATGCTGAGACAAAGAAGAGAAGGAGTGAAGGAGGTACGTGAAGGAGGTATTCTGAATTTGGAGACATATTTCCTTTTCTGAATGTCTCACATGACCCTTTTTTGACCCTTTAACGTATAGAATCTGTCTGCTCTCTTGCCCATGCACCCCACACATCCTGAATCCAGACCTGTCCGGACATGAGGTATTTACCATACAATCCCAGGTGACTCTTGAACTTTGCAGCAATGATGATAAAGACACAAGTTCTCAAAGTTCACATATAAATTAGAAATAACATTTTCCTGCTTTGTAAAGCTTTAGGAAGTGTCAGGGAACTGCCATCGGACGGAAGGGAGGTGAAAGGGCTCACACAGGTTGGGAGAGACGCAGCAGCTGAAGAGGGAAACAACAGGGAGGTGAAAGGGCTCACACAGGTTGGGAGAGACGCAGCAGCTGAAGAAGGAACCAGCAGGGGAGAGGAGCTGAGCTGGAGGGATGGCTCAGAGACACTTCCAGCGAAAACAGTGGGGAGGTTTCAGAACCTCCTGTAAGAACACCCACTTCTCGCCGGAAACTGTCACGCAGAGATTCCAGAAGACGTGTTTCCGTTAAGGAGCTTTTATGTTGGAAGCGATTACGAAAGCAACCACTGTCGGAATCTGCTAGTGACTAGAGCAGCCATGTCTGAGGGGCTCTGTCACAGACAGAGGTTTGTGGACTTGAACAAACTCTGAGGGAATACGATTTTACGCACAAGCAGCTCATCATCCCATCACAGCATTCCGACAGTCTTTGAAAGCAGCTTGTGCAGGAGAAGGCATCATGAGCAACCCAGCCGGAACTGGAGAAGCAGGAGCTGGAGCGGGTCCAAGCCTGGAAGAAAGGTACCAGATGTTGGAGGTCCAGCTAGCGATGCAGACGGCGAGGCTGGAGGAGAGGAGGGCTCAGGATGCAGACAAAAGGGGGAAAGCCACCCAGTTCGCCAGAAAGGTACCAGGATTGGTGCAGAAGTTTGGGGGGGAGCCCAAAACTATCATGGTTTTCGGACAGAAATGCAATATGCCCTCAATCTGCAGTTTGATGAATCCCTGACGAGGAATCACGAGTGGCTTTCGTGATTGAGCATCTTGAAAAGGGGGCGAGAGACTGGGTTAGACCCCTGATGGCAGCGAATAGTGACGTCTTAAAGGACACGATGAAGTTCTTTCGCGCCATGGATCTGATGTTTTCCAGCGATATTGAAAAGGGAGTGGTGCGCAGACAGTTAATGGGTTGCAAACAGGGGAGCCGATCTGTCCGTGAGTACTGGACTGAGTTCACCATGCTTGTTCACAGATTGGGGTGGGACTTATCGGCGGAACCCATTCAAATGCTCTTTGAAGAAGGGCTTTCTTCGGCTGTGAAAGACGAACTTTCCCGGGCGCCCAGGGCGGAGTCTATGGACCAGCTGACCAAATCAGCGCTGGCCATAGGAGCGCGCCAGGAGGCGAGAGCATTGGAGAGGCGGGAAGGGAAAGGGGAACGTTGGAAGGAGTTCCGCATTCCAGACATTCCAGAGCCAACTTTCCCACCGGCAGAGCCGATGGAAATCGGAACAGGCGCGCGCGCGCAGTTTCAAAGCCCAGTGAGGGGGCAAAGAAGGAGGGAAAAGGCGCCCGGAAATGCTATCTCTGCCAACAGCCAGGTCACTTTGCCAGAGTCTGCCCCCAGAGGAAAGAATGGCAAGGGATGGTAGGAGCTGTGGATGGAAGAGAGGAAAAATACCGGAGCAAGTAAAGCCAACGCCTGGCTGCCACTGTCAGGGCACAGCAGCCAGGCCAAAGAGCAGTGAGAGTGCCCACGCCAGAACCTCCTAAACCCGCCCTAGTGATAGAAGTGACGCTAGAGCTGCCAAACGGACACCCTCTAAAGATAAAGGCGCTGTTGGACTCAGGCAGCTCCTGCAATTTCATGAGCAAAGAGTTTGCAGCTGAACACCAGATACAGACAATCCTTTAAGCAGCCCCCTGCAGGTTACCACGATCGATGGCAGGGAGCTGTTGGGTGGAGAAGTCAGCTTGCAGACCGTCCCAATGATAATGAAGGTAGCAAGGCACACCGAACTGATAGCTTTTAATGTGGCCACCTTGGGAGGAGCTCCCATTATATTGGGGATGAGCTGGCTAGCGTTACATGATCCGCTGGTGGGCTGGCATCAGAGAGTGGTTTCTTTTGGTTCAGCACATTGCTTAGAACACTGCAAAGAGGGAAAGGGTTTGGCAGGGGTCCAAGCCGCCCTAGCAGGGACTGAAGTAACAGAGAACGTGAAGGTACCACGACAATATGCAGATCTCCGTGACGTCTTCAGCGAAAGGGAAGCTGACCAACTACCCCCGCATAGACCCTTTGACTGTCAAATCAACTTACTCCCTGGAGCACAGCTCCCTGTAGGCAAGCTGTACGCCATGTCAGACAGAGAGATGCAGGAGTTAAGAGAGTTCATTGACAAGAACCTGAAGAGAGGGTTCATCAGAGAGTCCAGGGCGGTGGGGGCAGCCCAGTGTTTTTGTGGATAAGAAAACACGAACAAGCCGAGGCTGGTGTGTGACTTCAGGGCCTTAAATGCAGTGTCAGAACCAGTAGCCTTCCCTATGCCCAGGATTGACGACATTTTGACAAGGGTGCGGAAGGGAAAGATTTTCACAAAGCTGGACCTAAGGGGGGCGTACAACCTGGTACGAATAAGGAAGGGGGATGAATGGAAAACCACTATGTTCACCCCTTTAGGGGCATTTGAATATTTGGTTATGCCCTTCGGCCTACAAGCAGGCTCCGCAACATTTCAATCGTTTATGAACCACGTCCTGGGGCCTTTGCTTTACAAGAATTGTGTGGCCTTTTAGACGACGTGTTGGTGTATTCTGAGAATGAGGAGCAGCATGTGAGAGACGTCAGAGAAGTGTTGAGCAGGCTGCAAGCCAACCAGCTGTGGGTGAAACTGGAGAAGTGTCAGTTTCATACCAAGGAGGTGGAATTCCTGGGGTATCGCCTGTCAGACAAGGGATTGGCCATGGATCCCGGCAAGGTCCAGGCGGTACTGGAATGGAAAACACCCAAAACAAAGAAGGATGTGCAGAGGTTCCTAGGATTTGGGAACTTCTATCGTAAGTTCATCCGAAACTTTGCCCACCTGACGGCGCCCATTACGGACTGTCTCAGCAGTAAGAAGAAGTTCGTGTGGACTGAGGAGGCGGAGCGAGCATTTGAGGAACTAAAAAGGGCCTTCGCCTCGGAACAACAACTCCTGCATGTGGATTTACAAAAACCGATGAGAGTGGAAACTGACGCATCAGACAGAGCGATTGGGGCGGTGCTTCTGCAGCCAGGCAAGAAGGGGTCAGAGTGGAGACCGTGTGCCTTTTTTCGCGAAAGCTGAACAAATCCGAGAGGAACTACACGGTGTATGACCGAGAACTACTAGCCGTTTATGAGGCGTTCCGGAGATGGAGGCACCTGCTAATTGGCGCACAACATAAGGTGCAAGTGTGCACCGACCACAAGAACCTAGAGTATTGGAGGACGGCACGAGTGCTCAACCAACGGCAAGTGAGATGGGCCCAGGAGTTCTCCAAATTTAACTTTGAGATTAGTTACGTGCCAGGCCCAGAGAACATTAGGGCGGACGCTCTCTCACGCAAACCTGAATATTTGGAGGGGGAGGGGGCACCCGAAGAGAGACATGTCATTCCAGAAAACCGCTGGGTCTGTGGGGCGGCATTGGTGGGACAAAGAGAACTGGTAGAGGAAACAGAGAATGATGAATACGCCCAGAATAAGCTCAGAGGTCTTAGGGGTGATGGAGAGGAACCAGGGGGTTTCGAGGAAAGAAATGGAGCTTTGTATTACAAAGGGGCACTGTATATCCCTGAAGGAGAGTTAAGGGGGAGGGTACTCAAGCAGTTGCACGACAGCCCTACGGCGGGGCATTTTGGACAACACAAAACCATGTGGTTGGTCACCAGGGAATTTTGGTGGCCTAAGGTGAGGGAAGATGTACGTGAGTATGTAAGAGGGTGCGAGCAATGCCAGCGAGCCAAAGGGGAAAGGCGGGCGCCGGCGGGGCTATTAGAACCCTTACCAACCCCAGAACGACCTTGGGAGGCAGTGTCGATAGATTTTATGACTGATCTGCCGAAGTCCAAAGGGAAAACAGCCATCATGGTGGTGGTAGACCTACTAACAAAGATGTGCCACTTTGTAGCTTGCTCGCATGCAGTCACGGCGGAAGAGACAGCGAAGTTATTTGTAGAAAACATTTTTAGGTTGCACGGGGTGCCATTGAGGGTGGTCTCAGACCGAGGAAAACAATTTACTTCCAGGTTCTGGAGGAAGCTCATGAGCTTACTGCAGGTGGAGGTCAATTTTTCGACTGCCCGGCACCCTGAAACCAACGGGCAGGCGGAAAGAGCAAACGGTGTCCTCCAGCAATACCTGAGGTGTTATGTCAATGACAGAGAGAATGACTGGGTAGAAAAGTTGGCGCTGGCGGAATTTGCCTACAACAATGCCGAGAATGTGTCCACAGGGATGAGCCCCTTCTTGGCTAATTATGGGTGTCATCCCAGGGCTTTCCCAGGGGGAGAGGGGAGAGATGGAGCGTCCCGGCAGCCGAACATTTTGTGGAAGAAATGGAAGCAATCCATCGTCAGCTCCAACTCAACTTAGAAAGGGCGAAGGAAGAATACAAGAGGCAGGCAGACAAGAACCGAAGGGAAGGTGAAACCATAAGGGTGGGAGATAGGGTGTGGCTGTCAACCCAAGGGCTGCCGTTCAAAGGAGGTTGTAAGAAATTAAGACCCAGGAGGTTGGGTCCCTTTGAGGTCATTCAACAGGTCAACCCAGTGGCTTTCAGGCTCCGGTTACCCAACCACATGAAACTGCACCCAGTATTTCACAGGTCGTTACTGTCACCGTACGAAGGGGGACGAGAAGGGCTGGC